CCAAACGGCCTCCTTGACCGACTAACTTCGATCTGTCAACTTCCGCTGTAAAACTCAGAACACCGCGCCCATTATCCTGAAGTTGTCAACCGGGAGTCGCTAGCCACCCAAACCCTAAAAACGATCATCTAGAATCGGATTTTGATATCCTCTTCCTATCACCATTTCCAAACGTCCTCCTTGACCGACTAGTTGGGATTTCTCAACTTCCACTGTAAAACTCAGAACACCTACTATCCTGAAGTTGCCAACCGGGAGTCGCTAGCCACCCAAACCCTAAAAACGATCATCTAGAATCGGATTTTGATGACATCCCCTTCCTATCACCATTTCCAAATGTCCTCCTTGACCGACTAGTTGGGATTTGTCAACTTCCACTGTAAAACTCAGAACACCTACTATCCTGAAGTTGCCAACCGGGAGTCGCTAGCCACCCAAACCCTAAAAACGATCATCTAGAATCGAATTTTGATGACATCCCCTTCCTATCACCATTTCCACATGTCCTCCTTGACTGACTAACTTCGATTTGTCAACTTCCGCTGTAAAACTCAGAACACCGCGCCTATTATCCTGATGTTGTCAACCGGGAGTCCCTAGCCAACCAGTCCGACCAGCTCGTCGCCGAAGGAGGCGGATTTTCCGCGAGTTCCCGGTTAGCGGTCTCAGCGGTCGGCGGCGATATCACTCGGGGCGTCATGGCGTCAGCGGGATAAGCCGCTAACCCCATCCACCTGTTGCCCCTTCTTACGTCCCGGCCGGTGCGTCCTGTCGACCTCTCCCTCGCTCCCTTGGCCCACCCGGTGGCTCCGTCTCTCTCGGCCTCGGGGCCGCGCACCCGGAGCGGCAGCGTGGGGTCTTCAGCGGTCTGACGTGTTTTTTGCGAGTGCATACCTCGGAGCGGCTCCCGAAACAGTAGCTCGTACCCCGGTACAGTCTTGGCAAGCGAAAAAACCGAGCTCCATGCTGGAGATCTCCTCGGCACGAGCTCGGTCCAGCCTCTTTGCAGCCTCCGTGATCCGCTTCTGTTCACGCTCGACCCGAATCGAGACACCTGGTGGAAGGAAGTCTTCCCTTGAGATAACGAACGAATCGCATGGGGATTGGGGTAAAGGGGGTAAATGATGGTTGGTGACTAGACTTGGTGGAGGATAGCTTCTGGGAGGCGGTTCAGGGCTCTGGTGACGAGCAGATGCAAGACCAAGATCAGGTTTGGAAGACCATGGTGGGGTTTGATTGTCGGTATTTCTTGGTGATGAGCAAATGCAAGACCATGATGGGGTTTGATCGGCGTTGTTTCTTCGTCATGAGCAAGTACAAGATGAAGACTGTAAGAATATGGTGGGGTTTGATCGTTGGTATTTCTTGGTGATGGGCAAATGCAAGACCAAGACTGTAAGATCATGATGGCGTTTGATCACCACTATTTTTTAGTGATTAGCAAATGCAAGCTTGAAATTGTGCACCCATTATGAGGTTTGATCGTCATTATTTTTGAGTGATGCGCAAATGCAAGACCAAGACTGTAAAGTCGTGATGGGGTTTGATTGGCGTTATTTCTTCGTCATGAGCGAGTACAAGATCAAAACTGTAAGACTATGATGGGGTTTGATCGGCGGTATTTCTTGATGATGAGCAAATGCAAGACCATGATGGGGTTTGATTGGCGTTATTTCTTCGTCATGAGCATATACAAGATTAAGACTGCAAGACCATGATGGGGTTTGATCATCGGTATTTCTTGGCGATGAGCAAATCCAAGACCACGATAGGCTTTGTCAGTGTTACTTTTTAATGATGACCAGATGCAAGACCAAGACCAATTTCGCTGATCACTGTTGGCTCACCAGTGAAAATCAATAAATTACGATCGACTGTTTAAAATAAATACCGACGAGGAACTCTCAGATGTCACACACGGTGGACATGGAATATCGAAGGGATTCCTCCAGGGTTTTGTATTTTGAAAAATTGAAGAGGAACCCGAGGGAATATAAAGACAGCTGACAAGAGTAATCCGAATTTCTGGTAGGGTAAGGACACTTCGGACCATCGAGGAAGAGTCATGACAACCATGAATGACCATGGGTGACTACTGAGAGTCAAGAGTGGAAATGTTATGGGATACTGTTCCGCTTCTCTCTGGATGATCTCTGATGAGGTTAGGTTCGTCGTGTTCCCTGGTAACGATAACGTGATTACACTAATTGCTGGCGTCATCGTCTCGGTACAACTTATGGTGGGCTTTGTTTTCATTCGTGATGTAAAATGGTCGCGGAAGGGTGATTGCAACATAGGTGCGATGAGTTATGTGATCAATCACTGCGGATGCTGCAATTGGATTCGGGAGGATAATGTAAGGAGAATCTCGTTCACAATAGTGATATACCATCCTTTCGTTACGGTAGGAAAATGTCGAAAGTGTAGACAAACGTGCGCATGTCGGGTCTAACGGTTACTAATTAATGTTTTACATAAATAATGAGAGACGGTCCATCGATTGGCCTGGATCGAGATATATGCCCGGTTAGGTGTACAGTGCGTGTACGAGGAGGGAAATGATATTGCGATAGATGGAAAAATGGACGCGAAGTACAAGCTGGTTCGCCAATTGCCGACAAAAATGTACACGGGGTACCCAGAGCAATTTCGGAGCTGGAATCGACTGAACGAGAATTGCAATTTTTTATAAGCCCGAATTATTGCGGAAGGTACCGAGGAAGAGAGTAATTCTTGTAGCTCTTTAAGGTGGTACGAAATTCATTATATTTATAAAAAATAATTATAAAACTTTTCTCCAGACTAGATGCATCGAATCGTTGGAAACTTCACTACGTGATTGTGGAGGCTCTAAGAAAGAACGCGATTCTTGTAATATTTCATTGTTCTAAAAAGAAAAAAAAACATGCGTCCTTGGTCTCACTCTGGGATAAATGAACATTGTTTTCTTTTTCTTTCAATGAAATTTTACGAGCATTGCGTTTTTCCTTAGGACCTACATAATCTCGTGTTAAAGTTTCAAATTATTTGGTGTACCTAGTCATTCTATATTTATTGAAAGTTATATATTTATATTTATATAGAACTTATCTCCAAATTGGATGCATCGAATTATCTGAAACTTCAACACGTGATTATGGAGGCCCCAAGAAAGAACGCAATGCTTGTGAAATTTAATTTCTCAACAACAAAATATACATGTCCTTGATTCCAGTATGGAATATGTGAAGAACGTTTCTTTTTCTTTATGAAAAATGAAATCTCACGAGCATCGCGTTTTCTTTTACCACCTCCATAACCTCGTGCCAATGTTTCAAAATTATTTGGTGTACCCAGTCATTCTATATGTATGGAAAGTTACATATTTATATTTATATAAAAATCTTTTCTCCAAAATGGGCGTATCGAATTATTAGAAGCACATGATAATGTCAATGATTTTTTCGATTTTGGGTAATTCGCTTCGAATTTTCCCTCCCGGGGATTTGGGGGGCGTAATCGGGCATGGAAAATCGACATCTTCTCCGTAAACATTTATATTTATATAAAACCCTTTTCTCCAAATTGGATGCATCGAGTCGTTGGAAGCACGTGATAATGTTAATGATTTTTTCGATTTTGGGTAATTCGCTTCCCGGGGATTTTGGGGGCGTAATCGGGCCTGGAAAATCGACATCTTCTCCGTGCGGTGCATTCGCACTTCGGACACGAGGATCGCCGCATTCTGGGCCCAGTTGACCCTCGTTGACACCGTCGACGGCTTAGCCGTTAGTGTTAACTCCACCAATACAGAAATCTAAGGCAAGTCCGCGCTTATGACTTGGCCCGATGAATTGAGCACGTGCTCAGATTTCATCTTACGGGCCCGGCTCGGCGAGGTTAGATCATCCGGGACTTACTCGCTCGGTTCGCTTCTATTTATCGGAGAACGAGAAATAGAGCGGAGGCGAAGAAAGAGGCAGAAATTTTACGGTCCCGCCGAAGTTGATTTTAAAATCGTAATATTTGGAATAATCGATTAGAGCTCCGAGACCAAGAATTAAGGTGATATGAAAGTGGCATCCGAAAGCTCAATCGTTCATGAAACTTTTCTACTAACTGGGTGTCTCAGATCGTTGTATACTTTAAAACATGAATACGGAGACCCTAAGATAGGTCTTGAAACTCGCGAAATTTCACTTTTTATAAGCTATTTTTAAAACATCTATAAACAAATTTGAAAAAAATTGAAATTTCATGAGTTTCAGGACTTTTCTTATAGTCTCCCTATTCACGTTGTAAAGTTTCAAACTATTCGGTAAACCGAGTTGGGAGAAAAGTTTTCTAAACAAATCCTCATTGACGCCACTATATCTATAAACAAATTTGAAAAGAATTGAAATTTCATGAGTTTCAGGACCTTCCATATAGTCTCCCAATTCACGTTGTAAAGTTCCAAACTGTTCGGTAAACCGAGTTGGGAGAAAAGTTTTCCAAACAAATCCTCTTTGACGCCATTATATCTATAAACAAATTTGAAAAGAATTGAAATTTCGTGAGTTTCAGGACTTTCCTTATAATCTCCCTATTCACGTTGTAAAGTTTCAAACCATTCGGTAAACCGAGTTGGGAAAAAAGTTTTATAAGCAAAATCTCTTCAACGCCACTATACGTATAAACAAATTTGAAAAGAATTGAAATTTCATGAGTTTCAGGACCTTCCATATAGTCTCCCTATTCACGTTGTAAGGTTTCAAACAGTTCGGTGAACCGAGTTGGGAGAAAAGTTTTCTAAACAAATCCTCTTTGACGCCACTATATCTATAAACAAATTTGAAAAGAATTGAAATTTCATGAGTTTCAGGACCTTCCATATAGTCTCCCTATTTACGTTGTAAAGTTTCAAACTATTCGGTAAACCGAGTTGGGAGAAAAGTTTTATAAACGAAACCTCTTCGACGCTACATTCGCATAACCTTAACGGCGCTTTAATCGGAGATCGACATTTACTCTTGTTGCAGAGTCAAGCGCTGGCGTTGACGCACAAGGCGTCGCCACCCTCCAGACCGAGCAGCGTCTCTTCTCTGCCGAAGAGTCCCCAGTCGCAGCAGTCCCAGCAGCAGGGATCAGCACCCCCACCGTCTGGCGTCCACCTCCACCAGTCGCAGACGCCGCTGAGCAGTCCCCAGGTCCCAGCACCATTTGGTCAGCTTCCTCCGCACCCCCACCACGCTCAGCATCCCAAGCAGGAAGTTCCTTCCAGCCCCAAACAGGAGGGGTTCGATCTCACCAAGTCAGGACCCACCGCTGGTAAGTCGCTGTCCTGCCATTTCTGGGGCATCCATTGGATAAACATCCTTTTGCATGATGTACTTGTCGAATATAACACACGCAACGCGTTCGGGCGTCGAAATAGATGTGTGTACTTGGCGCGGCGCGCTTCGCCGTGGGTTACCGGGTGCGGAAGAGAAGCGGACTGCAAGGAGAGAAAATCGAGGGGAGGATGATATCGTGACCCTTAGGAACTAATCCGGATTAAATCCCAATCCCCGGCTATGCGGCCGGGCGAGCCGCAAGGCACGGAGCGTGCGGAACGCGTTGCGTCGTCGTTTCAAGACCCTTAAGGTGATATGAAAGTGTGATATATACATACCAAAAAGTCAAAATTTGTATAATATTTTTCGCCAAACTGGGCGCCACAAATTATCTAAAACCTCAACACGTGATCATAAAGGCTCTAAGGAAGAACACGCTGCCCGTGAAATTTCATTTTTTCGAAGAAAAAAAATATCTTCTTTCGATTCTTGTCCGAGATAAGTTGAACATTATTTGCCGAAAAAAGAAATTTCATTAACAGAGCGCGTAATCACGTGTTAAAGTTTCAGATAATTCGGTGCACCCAGTTTGGGGAAAAGTTTTATAAATATTTTTCGTCGAAGAAAGAAATTTCATTGGCAGAGCGCGTAATCATGTGTTAAAGTTTTAGATAATTCGGTGCATTCGGTTTGGGGAAAAGTTTTATAAATATTTTCACTTGTTATGTATATATCACACTGTCATATCAGCTTAAGGTGAAGTGAACAAGTGTTTTCTAAATACCTACGTTGCTGAGGTTCGTTTTTATATTAACAATATCGAGTTATACTGGGTATTGTATTAAATGGCACACTCCACCTGTCGTTTTCGTACAATAATTATAAAGGAATCGAAGTAAAACTGCAGAAATCCTCTGGATTCATGTTTTCCGAGGCCTTAATTGATTGCAGAGGGACCCCTCGCGCCATCTATGATTTCCGTGTCAACTAAATTTTCACTCCGAGATCTCGTATTGCCGTCGTTTTAGCATAGCAGCGCATAGGACACTTTTTGTTACCCTTATCCCGTTCAAATGCGAGTTTATCGATTACGAGAGTGTTCTAAATTGTCGTACAATTGTGCCCATAATTATGAAAGTGGTCTAAGTCAAAATTGAAAGAAAAAATGAGTTTATCAGTTATTTCACGCCACATTATTTCAAACTAAATTAATTCAATGTAATTTCGAAACAAAAAATATATGACTTAGACCACTTTCATAATTATGGGCACAATTGTCCTGACCCTTTCGTTTCTCATATTAGAGATTTCAATCATTCTTGTCGGTGGATACTTTAAAACGGCTCTCAAAACGGCGTTACGATGAATAATGGGGAAGATTAAGGGAACTCGGAGGTCACACTGTATAATGCTCTCTACGAACACCCCGTAGACCGCGAACCGAAAGCAAAATCGATATCATAACTCGCAATGCCGGTCAGAGATGCGAGGTGGCCATATTACCGATTATTAATTCTCTGTACTGGCCAAATTCACGGTTTCATTAGCACAGTTCTTTTTCGTAATCGTTTATTTTGGTTATTGGTGGTCGGTTGCTCAAATGGGTGACTACTTATATCATTGGTTATGGGATGGCAATAATCAAGGCAACACTTCTTCGTAATCGTTTATTTTGGTTATTAGTGGTTGGTTGCTCAAGTTGGTAACTATTTATATTATTGGCGATGGGATGGCAATAATTAGGATAACTCTTCTTCGTAATCGTTTATTTTGGTTATTGGTGGTCGGTTGCTCAAATGAGTGACTACTTATATCATTGGTTATGGGATGGCAATAATCAAGGCAACTCTCCTTCGTAATCGTTTATTTTGGTTATTGGTGGTTGGTTGCTCAAGTGGATGATTACTTATCTGTATCATTAGCGATGGGATGGCAATAATTAAGGCAACACTTCTTCGTAATCGTTTATTTTGGTTATTGGTGGTCGGTTGCTCAAATGGATGACTATTCATATCATTGGTTATGGGAGGCAATAATCAAGGCAACTCCTCTTCGTAATCGTTTATTTTGGTTATTGGTGGTTGGTTGCTCAAGTGGGTAACTATTTATATTATTGGCGATGGGATGGCAATAATTAAGACAACTCTTCGTAATCGTTTATTTTGGTTATTGGTGATTGGTTGCTCAAGTGGGCGAACGAAGGGCTGCTCCGAAAGGGAGGAGGGTAGACGACTTCATTCACGTTCAGATTCGATTTTCACCCCTGTCAAAGGAGTCGCAAAAGGCACGCATATTTCACGAACCACTCGGCGTATGTGTCGACGGTGGCTGGGTAAATGTGAGGTTATTTGTGTGGGTACAAGTACGAGTACACGGGCCATGCCCGGGGGACCGAAATACGAGACGCCATCGGTGGAGGCTGGGATTATCCGGGCTATGCGAGTTGGATTTGGGATTTCCGTTTCTAAAAACACTCGGGCTCTACTTTCGCCACGGGAGTACAGTGGAACCTCGCAAATGGAACGTTTGGTCCGGTCTCATTACAGCGTATCAGCGGAAAGTACGAGATTAACCATGGAACTTGTTCGGTGTTCATTTCTCTGAAGATGGGATAGAGAGAACTGATGTCGATGAATTAAGATTATGGTGAAGATGATTTTTGTGTTTGAAAATTCATGAGATCTGGAGAGGAATCGAGCAAATTGGACGGTCTCATAAGAGCCTATCAGCGTAAAGCACGAGATTAACCATGCAACTTGTTCGGTATTCATTTCTCTCAAGATGGGATAGAGAGTACTGATGTCGATGAATTGGATGAGATTAGGGTAATGATGAATTTTGTGGCTGAACATTCCTGACATCTGCAGAGGATTCAAACAAATGGAACCTTTGGTCCGGTTTCATAACGGCGTCTCAGCGGAAAGTACGAGATTAACGATAAAACTTGTTCGGTATTCATTTCTCTGAACATGGGATAGAGAGAGAACTGATGTCGATGAATTGGATGAGATTAGGGTAATGATGAATTTTGTGGCTGAACATTCCTGAGATCTGCAGAGGATTCAAACAAATAATAACGTTCGGTCCAGTCTCATAACAGCGTATCAGCGGAAAGTACGAGATTAACGAGGCTACTTGTTCAGTATTCATTTTTCTGAAGATGGAATAGAGAGAACTGATGTCGATGAATTGGATGAGATTATGATAAAGATGATTTTTGTGTTTGAAAATTCACAAGATCTGCAGAGGAATCGAGCAAATTAGACGGTCTCATAAGAGCGTATCAGCGTAAATCTCGAGATTAACGATGCAACTTGTTCAGTATTCATTTTTCTGAAGATTGAATAGAGAGAATTGATGTCGATGAATTGGATGAGATTATGATAAAGATGATTTTTGTGTCCGAAAATTCATGAGATCTACAGAGGAATCGAGCAAATGAGACGTTATGTGTGTTATCATAAGTGTTTTATTCGAATCGATCGATTTGAGGAGGTTTCACTTAACCTTAATCATGCCAATACGTAAAGTTTACGCGTCTGCAGAAAGATTTTTCCTAAAAACTGATTCTACTTCCACCGAACGATATTACACCGGTATAATTGAATTGAATTCGCAATTAAATTACAATTATCTCGTCCGTCATTCACCGTGGATTCAATAGCCGCATTCATTTATCAGGATCTGGGATACCGAAATCCGAATATCCGGATTATTTCGGACCCTATTCTGAGTATTCGGAAATCCGGATATCCGGATTACTACAATAATCCGGCTAGTTGGCACAGCCGACCGTATATTGATCCCCGGTGTGTGGAGTAAGGGCACGTTTTGAATTCTTTTTCTTTTTTTTTTTCTCTTACTATTCTTCGATTTGCAACTTTTCAACTTGCACTCAGTCTAACCGAAGCTCCTCCACTATTTCCCATGTCAATTTCAACCGAATACTTGAAGTTCACAGGAACTAAAACGGAAAAAAAGGAACATTAATTACTGTTAATTCGTTAATAGTAAGAATATTGAATAATACTGTTAGTAGATGTTGAACTAATACTTTGTTTTTATAAAAGCGACGCGTTTCCATTTTGGTTTCTGTAACGTTTTACCTGGTTTCAGGAGTTTCTAACCTAGTTTTCATGTTACGGAGATTTTTAAACTGCGAACTTTGAAATTCGGCTTCATTTGTTGGAAAGGAGGGCTGTTATTAATGAAAAATAGCCTTAATGCACTTGTACGATGCATGCTTCTTGTACGATTTGGAACTAATAATTTTGTTTTTATACAAGCAATGCGTTTCCATTTTGGTTTCTGTAACGTTCGACCTGGTTTCAGGAGTTCTTAACCTAGTTTTCACGTTACGGGGATTTTTAATACTATTTCTACCACGATTTTGTGTATACCTATTTCGACCAAAAGGTTTTGATGAGCTGGAGGAAAATGATACCGCTAAATAAATTTAACAATTATTATACGAAAACTCAAAACATTAATTGAGAAAAAATTATTAAACTTTGAAAATAATTTCAAGTTAAAATTTTAAAAGGTGTCTTTTGACACCTTTGGTAGAAATAGTGTTAAGCTGTGAACTTTGAAATTCGGCATTATTTGTTGGGAAGAAGGGCTGTTAATATAGTATAAAATAAAATAAATAAATTTAACAATTATTATACGAAAACTCAAAACATTAATTGAGAAAAAATTATTAAACTTTGAAAATAATTTCAAGTTAAAATTTTAAAAGGTGTCTTTTGACACCTTTGGTAGAAATAGTGTTAAGCTGTGAACTTTGAAATTCGGCATTATTTGTTGGGAAGAAGGGCTGTTAATATAGTATAAAATAAAATAAAATAAATAAATTTAACAATTATTATACGAAAACTCAAAACATTAATTGAGAAAAAATTATTAAACTTTGAAAATAATTTCAAGTTAAAATTTTAAAAGGTGTCTTTTGACACCTTTGGTAGAAATAGTGTTAAGCTGTGAACTTTGAAA